CCAGAGTCACTCTGGGGAGAAGCACTTAAGACAGCAGCTTACATTCTAAATAGAGTACCAAGTAAAGCAGTTGCTAAAACACCTTATGAGCTTTGGACTGGTCGAAAACCCAGTTTAAAGCATTTACATATTTGGGGATGTCCAGCTGAGGCAATACCTTATAGGTCAAATGAAAAGAAATTGGACTCTAAAACAGTTAGCAGCTACTTTATTGGGTACTCTGAACGCTCTAGGGGCTATAAGTTTTATGATCCCACACTAAGGAATATTTTTGAGACGGGAATAACAATATTCTTTGAGGATGTTGAGTTTGGGGGGAGAAATAAGGTTAGAGGCATTGCTTTTGAGGAGGAATTGGCATCAGATCCAATCCATACAGTTATTTTTAACAATATTCAGGTTCCTATACTTGTTATTGCCCAAGAAGTAAATCCGGAACCTCAAGATGATAATGTTGAACAACTTCCTGTTCCATAAGAACAAACTCAACAACCTCAAGAACCAGTGCCACTAAGAAGATCCACGAGAGAAAGGAGAAATGCTATTTCGGATGATTATATTGTATTTCTCTAAGAACATGAGGAATGATTATATTGTATTTCTCTAAGAACATGAGGAAAGTAATGGAATGTTGGAAGATGATCCAATCAACTTCCTTCAGGCCATGAAAAGTTCTAACTCTCAACAGTGGATTGATGCTATGAATGAAGAGTACAAGTCTATGCAAGACAATAAGGTTTGGGAACTTGTCACATTGCAGAAGGTACAAAACCAATTGGTTGTAAATGGATATTTAAAACCAAGCGGGATGCAAACGGTAATGTGGAGAGGTATAAGGCACGTCTTGTAGCTAAAGGATTTACTCAAAAGGAAGGCATTGATTATACATAGACTTTCTCTCCGGTTTCATCGAAAGACTCTTTCAGAACAATCATGGCACTTGTTGCTTATTATGATCTTGAGTTACATCAGATAGATATTAAGACTACATTTCTTAATAGCGTCATTGATGAGATGATTTATATGATGCAACCAGAAAACTTTGTGTCAGGAGACTCAAAGAATATGGTTTGCAAATTAAGGAAATCCATCTATGGACTCAAGCAAGCTCCTCGTCAATGGTATCATAAGTTTCAACAAATAATTATCTCATTCGGTTTTGAGATGAACATTGTTGATGACTGTGTATATCATAAGTTCAGTGGGAGTAAGTATATTTTTCTGGTTCTGTATGTCGATGACATATTGCTTGCCACTAATGATATAGGCATGTTGCACGAAACCAAGAGATTTCTATCAAAGAATTTTGAGATGAAAGATCTTGGGGACGCCTCTTTTATATTAGGAATCCAGATACATCGAGAACGCTCTCGAGGTATATTTGGATTATCACAAAAGAGCTATATCAATAAAGTACTTAAAAGGTTTGGCATGCAAGATTGCAGATTAGAAGATACCCCTGTTGCTAAAGGAGACAAGTTTAGTCTCAATCAGTGCCCTAAAGGTAACCTTGAAATTCAGGAAATACAGAAGATTCCTTATGCTTCGGCTGTAGGAAGTCTAATGTATGCTCAGGTATGTACGCGTCCGGATATTACGTACATTGTTAGGATGTTAGGTAGATACTTAAGCAACCCTGGTATGGATCATTGGATAGTAGTCAAAAGGGTTATGAAGTATCTTCAGAAAACAAAAGATTATATGCTCACATACAGAAAATCAGAACAACTGGAGGTCATTGGGTACTCTGATTCTGATTTTGCTGGATGCCAAGATAGCAGAAAGTCTATATCAGGCTACATTTATATGTTAGCAGGAGAAGTTATATCATGAAAAAGTATCAAACAAACACTTGTAGCTTCCTCCAATATGACAGCAGAATTTGTAGCTTGCTATGAGGCATCCAATCAGGTAATATGGCTGTGAAATTTTATCACGGGACTGCGCATTCTGGAAAATATGGAAAGACCAATAAGGTTATATTGTGACAATAAATCTGTAGTAATGTATTTCAATAACAACAGTAGCTCAACTAAGTCAAAACATATTGATATTAAGTTCCTGGTTGTGAAAGAAAGGGTACAGAATGGACAGATATCCATAGAGCACATTGGGACAAACTCCATGATAGCAGATCCTCTTACTAAGGGATTGCCACCCAAGGTCTTTCATGAGCACACCGCTCATATGGGTGTGGTGATATTCGAGGATATCATGATTTAGTGGGAGTTTGTAATTGTGGTGCTTTATGTTAGGTTGTATTGTCTGATCAGAATAAAGTTTTTCAGTTCAAACACTCTGTTACATTATGTTTGGTTTTGACCTCACTAAAGTAGGATCAGTTAAAAATAGACATGTACTGATCACATTGCATGTAATTTTCATGCTGCATATCCATGATTGATCTATGTCATTTGATTGTATTGGTATATGTGATCATTGATGGGTCGAGTCACGATAAATGTGACGAAAGCCGCTTTGATCCTATATTGATTAGTCAATGGACGAGATTGTTCGGAAATACCTTTTTCAGTGATAGCAATTTTGAGCTCATAAGGTTATACACACTTTAAAGAGTCATATGGTGCCCAAGTGGGAGATTGTTGGATTTAAATCTAATTAAATCTATTTGTGGGCACATATGATTAATCTGTGTGTATTGCTATCCTTTAGGGTAACCCACTAAAGTGATCAATTAATTTGGGTTAATGGGTGTTTAAATAAGTCATGGGGTTATATGTGCAGATACCATGTTGTAATTGTAATTTGATGATGGGCCAAATTACAAATGTACAACACCTATAAATAAGGGGTTATGGTCCCTAATCTAGGGTTACATTCTCTAATTCTCTTCACCCCCATCTAGAGAGAAATTTGGCTAGAGAAACCCTAAGGTTAGAAGATCATCAAAACCCTAATCATGTTTTCTTCAATGGATTCAGGTATATGCTTCCGCACCTTTTGATTCTTTTTAATCTCTTTGAATTAATCATGAGTTTAAAGTTTAGATCTCAAGTTTTTATTAGATCTAACAAGTTAGAGAGAGATTACAGTAAGAGATTGTATTTACTATTTTCCTAAGTCAGTTAGAGAGATAAATACTAATTTTATTCTCATTTCTTCTTTAATTTTCCTACAAACATTAATCTCAATGGATCATTTCAAAAGGACATTGATTATATATTGAATCGATTATAGAAATCTTCTCGAGAACAACTATATATTAAATTGAACAGAGAAAAAAAAACATCGTTCCCCATTTTGATTGTTAAAATATTATTATGCAATATATTGCGAAGTGTTCAGACCTCAGTGGTCCAGTTATCAGGGAAGCCCAAAGCTGATGCGATCCACAAGAAGAAGGTTATTTAACCAAAAAGCCCCTGAAGCTTCCCGTGAACGTCCCTTCGTAACTTTTCTCCCTACAAACCCCCTAAACTTTAGGGTGTCTCATAAACAACCTCTTAAACTTTCAATACTTCCCAGAAAGATTGGTGAAACTTCTCTCTTGCCTTTAGAAAACGAGAAAGGAGAAATAACCCTCGTCCCTTTGATTTAATGATCAAGGACAGATAGCCAACTGTTTGGTCTAATTCAAACTTTTGGAAAATTGGTTTTTTTTGGTAATCAAAACCCCAAAGTAGCTTCAATTATTGGTCTCATTGACCATCTTATTCACAACAACTCCTACCAATATGCAGTTAATAAATAAATAATATTTATATTTAGTTGGGAAAACAGGGAAATTAATGAAAGGAGCCTACTTGAATCGAATGATAATTATATTCTTATCACTTGATGGAGAAATGCAATAATTTTCCTTGTTAATATAGTCTTGTATATATTAATTAGAGAATTCACTGTCTTGTATATATGAAGATTTATATCAATAGTCTCAACGAAAGAGTACGTTCCATTCCAAGTTGAACTGCAAGTGTGATGCACAACAATCTCAAATACTATTCCAAAGATGCAAAAAATTTTCATTAAATTTATTGTCTTCTTATTTGTATTATTTTCCACCTAAAAGATATATAAGTTGGATGTGAAAATATTATTTACGACATAAAATTATTTTTTGACTATCTAGTATGTGATAAATCATTCAAATGGTAGCGTCTATAAATCAATTACTGGTTTTCATTGAAATAATGCTTTTACCAAGTAAATCCAAATTGAGTTTCCAAAAAAAAAAACGCAACTTGAACTTTTTTCGAAACCTCTGTAAACTTTTGTATATATTTTAGTTCTTTTCGAACTCTTACAAGCAACATGTAAGCAATAAATTGTACACGTTGAGGACCCCTACATACAATAAATTGGACAATTTGGTGATTTCTCGATTTGATTCGTTGGCAGTTGGTCAACTCATCAATGACATCGGACTTAATTTCACTTGGATGGGTAGAATAATTCACAACCACCCCACCAACCTCCACCGGACACACCCCCACCCCCCGGATTTGACCAATTTTTGGGTTAGGGCATCTAGAAAATGTACAAGGGCGCCGTTTAACCACAAAACATTTTCATAACTCGATAAAGGCTGGGGGTTATCTGCTAATTGGTTCGGAAAAATACAAATTATTCCAGAGGTTAAATGACAATTTAAAACATTTGGGTGTTGTCTTACGAATATGTCAAATTCTAGAGATTTTGCGCACAATAAAGAAAATAGGAGGACTTTTTTTTTTGGGTACAAAGATTTTGAAACAACATAACACACAACTAATTCTCTTGCTTGGCAGTTTAATAAAAATGATATAGGAAACACAATTAAAATATAAAGAAAAATAGCTCTTCCACGCTCACAAAATATTAGTCGAGAAGCATTTTGGTCATTGTTGGACCAAATTATAAGGCCTCGTAGGATTTGAGGGACGTATGAGCACTTTCAAATATGTAAGGGACTAATATAGAATCGACGAAAGATTTGAGGGACTAGTATTAAAAATAACCCC